GCCTCATCTGCATGTGAAAGGTGGACATTGAATAAAGAAGACTGAAGAAGAATCAATGCATTTGAATTGTGGTAGAATATTGAAAGTACCATGGACTGCTAAAAAAAAAACAAAACTGCTCTGCTTTGGAAGAAGTATGCCCAAAAATGCTCTTTGGAGGCAGTAATGATGAGATTACATCTTTAGACATGTTGGAGAGACCTGTTCCTGGAGAAGGACATCATGTTTGGTAAAGCAGAAGGGCAGTGAAAAAGAGGCCCTCAAAGAGATGGATTGACACCATGGCTGCAAGAAGGAGCCTAAGAATAAACAACAGCTGTGAGGATGGCTTAAGACCAGGCAGTATTTCATTCTGCTGTGGACAAGGTCGCTATGGGTCTGCCTAACAACAAAAACCCATCCCAGATCTGAGACAATATGAGAGAGCTTCAAAAAATTCATGGAAATTTTACATTATTTTTTTAAATTCCACTCCCACAAACTTTTTGAAGCCTACTCATATTCATGGGACAGCTGAGAAAGTGAACTTGGCAAAGAATGTTGCATTGGCAAAAGAGTGGGATAAAACTAGGAGAAATACAGCATAGTGTTTGAAAGAGAATGCAATACAAACAAAAATAGACCTTATTGGATAACTGTGGGATGGATTTGGAAACAGACAGATTGGAATGAGGCATTATGGTATAAGGGTGGTCCCGTGTGTAACTTTACATATTGCTGTAGAATAACATTACAGATCATCTACTTCGAGTTTAACTGCATCATTTCACAACTAGGACAAGTCACTTGAAGTCACACCCCCAGAAAGCAGAATCATGCACGTCTGGAAGCCTACTGACTGACCTATCTCTTGCTTCTACACTCTTATATAGTTATCCTCATTAAATTATATGGGCCATGAAGTAATTTATTACTCATGTTTCTAGTGAACATTAGAACCAGCTACTACAACACAGGTAATTTTTAAGGTGCCACTCAGATTATTTGACCTAGCTATTATATAGGGTCCAAGAGTTGTAGCTGACTGGATGACATCTAACCATAAATACTGTGCAGTAAGCATGCTGTTGTCGTTAGGTACTATTGTTGTGGTTGGGTTCTGACCAACAGCACCCCTGTGCACCACAAAATGAAACTACCGATCCTATACTATCCTGACAATGGTTCCTATGTTTAAATCTATTGCTGCAGCCATGAAGTCACTCCATCTCCTTAAGGCCTTCTTTTTTGCTAGGCCTCTACGTTAACAAGCATGATGTCCTTTTCCAGGGGCTGGATCTCCTGAGAACATATCCAAAGTATTTGAGATGAAATCGCACCATCCTTACCTCTAAGGATCACTCTGGCTGCATTTTTCCCAGGACAGCTTTATTTCTTCTCTTGGCAGCATGTGGTGCTTTCAATACGCTTCTCCAGAAGCATGCTCCAAATGCATCCATTCTTCCATCTTCCTCATTCAGTAGACAACGCTCACCTCCTCTGAGGCAACTGGAAGTGTCATGGTTTGGGTAAGTTTCACCTTCGTCCTCAATGTAACATCCTTGCTTTTCAACACTTTAAAGAGGTCTTGTGCAGCAGATTTACCCAGTGAAATGCATCATTTGATCTCTTGACTGCTGCTT